GAGATTCGGCTGCCGTCTCCGCGGGGAAGGAAGATGTGGGAATGGGGGAGGGGGGCAGAGGGGGGGCAGAGGACGATGAGGAAGCCTAGGAGAAGGAAGAGGAGGAGGAGAAGGAGGAGAAGGAGGAGGATGACGGCTAGGAGGGGGAGGAGGAGAAGGAGGAGGGGGAGGAGGAAAAGTAGGAAGAGGATGAGGAGGAGGAAGACGGGTGAGGAGCAGGCAGAGGAAATTACCGAGGGATAATGGAAACAGGAGGAAGGATAGAGGAGGGGAACGAAGAGGCAAGGCGGCGGAGGGAGGAAAGAGAGGAACGAGGAAAGAGAGGACGAGGGAGGAGGAGAAACAGTTATTGTTGTCATTGTTGTTGTTGTTGTTGTTGTTGTTGTTGTTGGTGTTGGTGTTGGTGTTGTTGTTGTTGTTGTTGTTGTTGTTGTTGTTGTTGTTGTTGCTGTTGTTGTTGTACTGTCATTTTTGAAGATGAATTATTGTTGATCCCCCCCGTCCGGTGCACATTGTGTTTTTTCGATTGAAGTGCCCTTCCCGGGGCTCGCACCCGGTTTTTATCAGGGAAAGTCTTGAGCGTCAAACTGTGTCGTTGGCCCTCGTTTTACAACAACAACGGCTCCCGCCTGAGTTTTCCTCACAATCTAGCCTGTACCCCCGCTCCCGCCCGAGATTTCCTCGCGTTTTATTCGGGAATCGCGCTCTCGCTCGGGACTTCCTTAGAGTTTGTTCTCCTGGCGCTCTGGAGTCGCGCTTTCGCTGGAGACTTGTTTGCAATTTACCGAGGAATAGCGCCCTTGCGTTGGAATTTCCTGCAATTTACTCAAGCGCCGCGCTCCCGACACCCAGGCACCTGGGAGTCGCGCTCACGCTTAGGTTTCCCTCACAGATTACATAGGAATCGGGATCTCGCTGCCCTTCGTGACCCCGTTGCAGCCCTTCGTGGCCCACTCGCTTTGTTTCGTGGCCCCGTGGTAGCCCTTGGTGGCCACCTCGATACCCTTCGTGGCCCCGTTGCAGCCCCTCGTTGCCTCCTCGCTGCCCTTCGTGGCCCCGTTGCAGTCCTTCGTGGCCCCCTCGCTTTGTTTCGTGGCCCCGATGCAGCCCTTCGTGGCCCCCTCGCTGCCCTTCGTGGCCCCGTCGCTGCCCTTCGTGGCCCCTTGCAGCCCTTCGTGGCCCCCTCGCTTTGTTTCGTGGCCCCGTTGCAGCCCTTCGTGGCCCCCTTGCTGCCCTCCGTGGCCCCATATATGTATGCCGCCCTTCGTGGCCCCCGCTCGTTCGCGCCCGTGGTGGCCCCATATGCATATGTCCTGCGTGGCCCAGTTGCTACCCTCAGTGGCCCCATCGATGCCTTCTGTGACCCCGCATTATCTGCCCTTCGTGGCCCCCGCTCGTTCGCGCTCTTCGTGGCCCCATACGCATTCCCTTCGTGTCCCCGCTGTTGCCCTTCGTGGCCTACTTCGTGTCCTTGTGGCCCTGCTGTCGTTCTCTTTCGCTCTCGCTTTCGCTCGTCGCCGTCATCGTCGACGTCGTCGTCTTCGTCGCCGTCGTCGTCGACGTCGTCGTCGTCGTCGTGGTCGGTCCCCTGTCCGTCCCTCTTGGGTCGGGTCGACGGTTCGCGGCCGCCCCGCCGATCAGCGCTGCCGCTGGCCAGGCCGACGGTCCGCGGCAGCCCCGCCGCTTGCCAGGGCCCCGCCTGCAGGGAAGAAAGGTATACCCTCCAGAAGGGGTTCGATCGAAGACGAAGAGGGCAGGTATCGAGGGTTTGGGAAATAGGCGTTGCTGGACACTCGAGCAGACAAGGGCGAACAGTCTTAAAATTATTGTTGTTGAACATTATTTATTCTAAAGAATAATTATTGTTGGGACCCCTGGTGCGCGACCCCCTCGCCGCGCCTAGGCCGCAGCTACATTTTCATCATTTTCGTGAGGAAGCCTCAGGTAATACGATGTCATCAAGATCCGGTTGTTTTGTTCCCCCCCGCTGTCCCTTGCAAAAAACACTATAAATGAAATTTCTTGTTCTAAAATAACCAAACTTCAAGAATCCCTTGCAAAAAATAAGGTAAAGTGGACATTCGCGCGCGCAAGACGAAATCCTTCCAAAACCTTAGTGTTCGTAGCGATTTCAACATAAAAACATCAAAAAACCATTTTTTTTTTTTTTTTTTTTTTTTTTTTTTTTTTTTTTTTTTAAAAGTGTCACAATTTCATCCCGCGCGCTCTTGCGGATTTGCAGGAAACCCAACTTTTTTAAACATTTCTGTCAAACGGGCTTTTGCGATCAACTTCTTCACGTGCTTCGAACTTCTCCAACAACGGTTGCGCACCTGCCAGGGCCATCATCCCTGTCAAATAATACCATGCGGGACACATTCGTTTTTTCTTTCCGTGCGCACGCCGAAATCTTCAAAAACCATTGGGTTTCGTAGGAATTTTAGCACCGCGCAACATAAAATCATTTTTCGCACCGTAGGCCCTTCAAATCGTCGTCGTCGTATACTAAGCTAGTTTCCACAAGATGTTACCACAAGAAGTCATTGAAACCATGCGCCAGTGTAGTAGCCACGGTCGTCCGCATGCCACGAAGTGAAGTGTCCGAACGTCATAGGGCGGGAAGCTGGGTGTGGGTGGTGGCGAAGAGTCGTTTGGAAATGTGGTAGAGCTTGAACCGGCCCCCCCACAAAGTGGGGGTATTGGCGGGCGTCGTATGAAAACCCTGGCACTGGTGAGAACACTGAGCGTTCGGGTAAAATGATTGTTGTTGTTGTTGTTGTTGTTGCTGTTGTTGTTCCCCACATGCTTCGTGGGGGTCTGGTTTTCTTCCCTGCCGCGCCGCACCCGCGACAAACACCTCACTCTTCGTACAGCGCAGCTCAGCACAGCACATCACATCACAGCACAGCACAGCACAGCACAGCTCAGCTCAGCACAGCACACAGCTCAGCTCAGCTCAGCACGCAGCACAGCTCAGCACAGCTCAGCACAGCCCAGCACGGCTCAGCTCAGCACAGCACAGCACAGCTCGTGGCACTTTCTCGACACCACAGGGGGTGCGCAGGGGTTGGTCTCTCAGCTCGGCCGCTATCCACGACACTGGCGCAAAGCCTAGCAGGCGTGGCACTCTCTCGACACCACAGGGGGTGCGCAGGGGGTGGTCTCTCAGCTCGGCCGCTATCCACGACACTGGCGCAAAGCCTAGCAGGCGTGGCACTTTCTCGACACCACAGCGCAGGGGGTGGTCTCTCAGATCCACGACACTGGCGCAAAGCTAGCAGGCGTGGCACTTTCTCGACACCACAGGGGGTGCGCAGGGGGTGGTCTCTCAGCTCGGCCGCTATCCACGACACTGGCGCAAAGCCTAGCAGGCGTGGCACTTTCTCGACACCACAGGGGGTGCGCAGGGGGTGGTCTCTCAGCTCGGCCGCTATCCACGACACTGGCGCAAAGCCTAGCAGGCGTGGCACTTCTCGACACCACAGGGGGTGCGCAGGGGGTGGTCTCTCAGCTCGGCCGCTATCCACGACACTGGCGCAAAGCCTAGCAGGCGTGGCACTTTCTCGACACCAAAGGGGGTGGGCAGGGGGTGGTCTCTCAGCTCGGCCGCTATCCACGACACTGGCGCAAAGCCTAGCAGGCGTGGCACTTTCTCGACACCACAGGGGGTGCGCAGGGGGTGGTCTCTCAGCTCGGCCGCTATCCACGACACTGGCGCAAAGGCTAGCAGGCGTGGCACTTTCGCGACACCACAGGGGGTGCGCAGGGGGTGGTCTCTCAGCTCGGCCGCTATCCACGACACTGGCGCAAAGCCTAGCAGGCGTGGCACTTTCTCGACACCACAGGGGGTGCGCAGGGGGTGGTCTCTCAGCTCGGTCCGCTATCCACGACACTGGCGCAAAGCCTAGCAGGCGTGGCACTTTCTCGACACCACAGGGGGTGCGCAGGGGGTGGTCTCTCGGTCGCTAGGGGTGCTGGTCTCTCAGCTCGCCGCTATCCACGACACTGGCACAAAGCCTAGCAGGCGTGGCACTTTCGCGACACCACAGGGGGTGCGCAGGGGGTGGTCTCTCAGCTCGGCCGCTATCCACGACACTGGCGCAAAGCCTAGCAGGCGTGGCACTTTCTCGACACCACACGAGGTGCGCAGGGGGTGGTCTCTCAGCTCGGCCGCTATCCACGACACTGGCGCAAAGCCTAGCAGGCGTGGCACTTTCTCGACACCACAGGGGGTGCGCAGGGGGTGGTCTCTCAGCTCGGCCGCTATCCACGACACTGGCGCAAAGCCTAGCAGGCGTGGCACTTTCTCGACACCACAGGGGTGCGCAGGGGGTGGTCTCTCAGTTCGGCCGCTATCCACGACACTGGCGCAAAGCCTAGCAGGCGTGGCACTTTCTCGACACCACTTTCAGCTCGGCCGGACACTGTCGCAGGGGGTGGTCTCTCAGCTCGGTCGCTATCCACGACACTGTCGCAAAGCCTAGTAGGCGTGGCACTTTCTCGACACCACAGGGGGTGCGCAGGGGGTGGTCTCTCAGCTCGGCCGCTATCCACGACACTGGCGCAAAGCTAGCAGGCGTGGCACTTTCTCGACACCACAGGGGGTGGGCAGGGGGTGGTCTCTCAGCTCGGCCGCTATCCACGACACTGGCGCAAAGCCTAGCAGGCGTGGCACTTTCTCGACACCACAGGGGGTGCGCAGGGGGTGGTCTCTCAGCTCGGCCGCTATCCACGACACTGGCGCAAAGCCTAGCAGGCGTGGCACTTTCTCGACACCACAGGGGGTGCGCAGGGGGTGGTCTCTCAGCTCGGCCGCTATCCACAACACTGGCGCAAAGCCTAGCAGGCGTGGCACTTTCTCGACACCACAGGGGGTGCGCAGGGGGTGGTCTCTCAGCTCGGTCGCTATCCACGACACTGGCGCAAAGCCTAGTAGGCGTGGCACTTTCTCGACACCACAGGGGGTGCGCAGGGGGTGGTCTCTCAGCTCGGCCGCTATC